CTGGGATTGTCTGGGTCGCTGCAGCTGATAGACCTGCACGACTGGGTTGACAGCAGAGACTATCTCAAGCAATAGCAACCAGCAGTGATACATGCGCCACTAGTAGAACAAGTCTGTTTACGGCTTAGGGCAACGGGAGAGAACAACGGTGCTCCTCGATAGTCCAACTCGAATCATAGGGAGGATCCGCGTATCATGTCAGGTGTTTTTCCTATTTAGAAATCTTAGCCATTCTGACCAGAAACATGAGACTCTAAAACCTATACTGTGCCAAACCCTGAACCCTGCACCTTAAACCCTTAACCCTAAACCTTAAGCCCTGAACCATCAAACCTAAAGCCCTGAACCCTAACCCTAAAACCTAAACCCTAAACCCCTAAACCTCTAAACCCTTAACCCTGAGCCCTAGACCCTAAAACCTAAAGCCCTGACCCCAAACCCCTGCAGCCTTCGCCTTGTGCCGTGGCCAGCGCTTCCAGCGAGGCCTCCCAAGGTGCCGCGCCGAGGCCGGCGCAAAGGACCTCAATGCCGGCTCAGGGTTTAGCGCCAAGGGCTTATGGTTTAGGGTGTAGGGTTTAGGGTTTAGGGTTCAGGGTTCCGGGTTTAGAGTTTCGGGTGTAGGGTTTAGGGCTTGGGGTTAAGGATTTAGGGTTTAGGGTCCAGAGAGTTCGGGATAAATCTACAATCTAAGCGCTCAGGGTTCAGGGCGTAGGCTCAGGATGTTAGGGCCTCAGGATGGATAGGGTTTAGGGTTTAGGGTTTAGGGTTTAGGGCGCCCAAGGGCTCTGGTGGGGACCATATGGGTAATAGTGCCATGGCGTGTGGTACTATACGTAAACTCTACGGTAGACTATACGCAACTGCACCCGATGGATGGGCACCATCGCATTTTTATCTCAAAACTCTACTACTGAATGTCATGGAAAGCTTAGAGTCTTAGAGCGTGATTGGCATTCAGGAAATCAAGCCGAGTTCAAGTGTTTTTTCACAGATTTGATAGACACTCGCAGGTGGGTACTTATCAGGCGGGTACCTTAAAAGTAGGCCTAGGAAGACCTTCTTTACCCACATTAACCTTCTAAGAAGTCTTTGTTTCTGGACCTTAATTCGGAGCATCCACCTGGTGACTTTCCATCCTGGACGTGCCTGAACCCTAAACCCTGTGTCCTTGAGAGTTGTGATGGTTCTGAGGATAGGCCACCCTCAATTTAAGGGTTTAGGGTTTTTTTAGGGGCTTAGGGTTTAGGGTTCAACCCTGAACCCTAAACCCCTGCACCCTAAACCCTAAACCCAAGAAGGATTGTATTAGCAGGTTCAGGCGAATTATAACCCCAAAGTGGAACATGGGATTTGTAGGCGTTATGTCGGGTTTAAGGAAGTCAGAATCTAGTGATAACTTTACTTCTAACCCAATTGTCACCAAATCAGGGGACTTCGGGGGCTCATGTTTGGGTTATAGGTGCAGCTATGATTGGGTTATGATTGCCCTGGACCTTCTAGTAGAGACTGTTGGTAGCAAGATCCTCTCTACAGCCTTCCACAAGGCAATACTGAGTAAGTTACAATAATACAAAAACCTGAATTGCCTCTTTGCCATTGTGGGACCATGGTCTACGTAAACCAGCCAATGTCGAGTGAGGTGGTCATAATTTGCACGGTGCATGATCTTGAAACTTCCGCTGCAAGAAGGTCTCTCCATCCTATGTCATAGAATCTGTTTGTGCACGTTTGCGAACAAAAGCAGCCACACTTAATCAGCCAACTTCTAGCAGAATTTCAGGGAGGCAGTTCCCTTGTACATCTCCACCTAACGACACCAAACACCTTGTATACACACATTTTTTACATGGTCACCCCGTGCCCCCTCTCCCCTCAAAAGACCCTGGACCGAAATTCAATGTTATTTGTTAAGCGCATGCTGGATGAAGTAGTGAACACGAACACCTCCCCCCAATGTTGAATGCAACCCCCCCCCCACCCCTGATTTTTGATATTCCCCGCAGTCTTTGGCAAATGTGCCAGGAACCAAAAGGTGTTTTTAGTATGTGTTGGGTGCTGAATATTTGCAGCAAGGGATGGCAGTAATAAACTTCCAGCTTGTGGATCCCTCTTAGATTTTGTTGAGGGCGCCTTTGCAGGGGATACTCCTCCCCACCCCTACCCTACACCCTAAACCCTAAACCCCAAACCCTAAACCCTAAACCTCAAACCCCTAAACCCTACACTTACACCCTGGGGCTCCCGCATTGGCTTGAAAACCGAAAGGATCTGAAGCTGACAAGATGCCTAAGCAACAGTACTTGGAGGCCCATCCCATGGGACTTAGGAACCACTTATAACTGGGATTATAACCCTACTTATAATAGGGGTAACCCCTATAAGCCCATTTCGGGGGATTATAAGTAGGGTTATAAGCCCAGTTATAAGTGGTTACTAAGTCCCACGAGCCTCCAGGTAGAGCTTAGGCGGACTCCCCACCCAGTAGGGTTTAGGGTTTAGCGTTTAGGGTTTAGGGTCCTTGGAGGGTCAGGGGGACTTAGTAAGTGGGTCAAATAATGGGGATAATTAGGGTTATTCTATGGGTTATAGGGGTTATTAAGCCTACTTACTAAGCCCCCCTGACCCTCCAAGTAGTGACTATAAAGGATAATATACGGTTTGGGGTTTAGGGTTTACTGTCTGTAGGGCTTGGGGGTGGCTTACAAAGAATAATGTGGAGTCTATTAGGGTTTAGGGTTTAGGGCTCTCTTGTATGCCTATCATACCACTATTGCAGAGTGGGGGATCCTCCTAAAGTAGAGCGGTTTAAGTACAAGGATTCTCATGGGGAACACGGAAAAACAAGGATGGTTTAGGAAAACATATAAGAGGGGTTTAGGGTTTAGGGTTACACAAGGTTTAGGGCGTAGGGTTTAGATAAGAGATCTTCTCATGATATGCCAACCACATTTTCGGATTTTCTATTTGGGATCCCCACGAGAGTCCCCAAAACCCTAAACCCCCAATCCCCATTAGAGTAGTGTTTTTCTTGGTGGTTGAACCAAGTAAGATTATATTCCGTATATAAAATACTATACCCCAAAAGGAGCATAGAATCTTACTCTATATTGGGTACCATAGTATCCCCAAATAAGATATTACTCATTAGAGTCCTTGTGCTCACGTTGGCCGCTTCTCTGAGCCGAACTCGTGAGTCAAAATGACTAAATTTCAGGCTGCCATGGCTATTTCTCAGATTTCAGGAATTAGGGTTTGGGTTTAGGGTATTTAGGAAAGCCCTATAACCCGTATTATAGGCTATTTCTCAGATTTTAGGAGTTAGGGTTTGGGTTTAGGGTTTAGGAAAGCCCTATAACCCGTATAATAACTCCACTTGTCCCATTATTAGCCTACTAAGTCCCTGTGACCCTCCAAGTAGACTGGATAAGCGCCAGAATGGCCACGCAGGCTCCTAGCTCCTAGCCATAGACACCCCAAAGCGGTTTAGGGTTTAGGGTTTAGGGTTTAGGGTTTCGGCACCCAGACCGTTGAGAATCTCCCACACGAGACTTGGTACTTTCCATAGGTTCCCCAGTAAACCCTAAAGGATAAGGGTAGCCTTTTCCCCGCTGTTGTTTTAATAACGAGACCCCCAGATAAAAAGGGGAAAAGGGTACTACTGGGCTACCGTGTCCCATAGACCTCAAAATACGAGGATGGGGACCAGTCTCCGAAGCACAACATACGACAATCCGTTTTGTGGGGACCCCCTCAACCCAAAAACTTCCCCGAAATTTCCTAAACCCATTTGGGGAAATCACCAATTCAGACAATCCCTAGACCCTGAACCCTACTCCCTAAACCCTGAAACAGCTCGAAGCGCCTAACGCGAGGGACCAGTTCCCCTCACGGGAAAAGGCCGAAGTGGCCTCGCACGTCAGGGCTTCTTTGGTTTAGGGTTTAGGGTTTAGGGTAACACATAGCCTACCTACAGCCCAAGGATATGCAAAATCATAGCCCTGAACCCATGGTAACAGCCATAAATGCCATTATGTACATAGTCTTGGGGTCCAAGTAGAAGGTTGAAGGTTTAGTTTTTAGGGTTTAGTTGCTGAAGTTTGGGTTAGGTGTTAAGGCTAAGGGTTTGGGATTAGGGTAATAACGGAGAACTCAATGGAAAAGAAATGAATATATGAAATAGAGACCAACAGGAGTGCCCGTAACTATCATATTGCTGTAAAAGGGCCCAGAATAGGATTACCAGAGCCCGCTACTATGGTGTAAGTACTGCTCGGCGCTGCACAGCAATACATACTCCTGGGTATGTACAAACATTGGGATGCCCCCTGTGCCCCCCTTCATACCCCAAGCTGGAACTAAACCCAAAACCCAAAACCCTATATCTTTTGTTGGTGGGATGATATAGGGGCTATGTCCTGACCAAGGTCCTCCTAATACCCTTCATTGGGCCATCGGGTTCCAAATACTGTCCATTGGCCTGAAAAGAGTGCAGTTGGAGGGTCTAGTTTTTCACTAAACCCTAAGCTCTAAACCTTAAACCCTGAACCTTGAGCCCTAAGCCCTAAACCTTCAGTCCTGAACCCACAAAGCGCATTGACAGCTCGGAGAAGCCCCACATATCTGCGGCTATGCCTGCGGCTGCCGTGCGAAGCAGTCATGGCGCCTTTTTCTTGGCGCTGAAGAGCATTGTTGCTACCAGAGCCGGCTTGACTACCTGGATGGTTCTCAACCTAGACCCTCCTTCTACCCTCCATTATACCCTAAATACCCCCTATTAGGGACCATATACCCCTATTTAAGGGTACAAGGAGGGTCCTGGAACACACTCAAAACAGAAAGACCTTAATTAGGAACCCTCGAATTCAGGGGGACTGCCCTAATGATCATTCTGATGATGATGACGATGATGATGCAGGGATGATTTTGAAAAAACACCCCACCTGCTTGAGAGCCGTTGGCATCAGCAAGTGAACGGCGCCTGCGGCCCCCGAGTGCTCAAATCATTCTTGCTCCGCGCGCTTGCGCTTACCTGTCAGCTCACCCCCTTTGAGGGCATCTATTGCGGCGGCCGCTTCTGCTTCTGACACCCCAGCGGCAAACAAGCTAATCTTCAGCATGACTTGTGGCCACTTTTGCATAAGCTCGGCATAGGCTGGCAGCTTCACAACCTCTGCCATGTTGCCTTTGATATAGGCAAGGCAGGATTTCTCAAGCTCCTGGGCTTGAAGCAGGTGTGCTTGACAAAGCACGCCACAAACTTCGGAGAGGGTAATCTGCTCAGACATCGTCTTTTCACACCATCGTTGAAGCCGAGACACTTGGTACTTGTGGCTCACGGCCAACAGGGCCTGCACCTGAGATACAAGCGTGGAGCCATGCTGATCCTTGACCGTGGCAGCCGATGTCTTCAAGCAGAGCTCCTCAATGCTGCTAAGGCTGTCAGTGTAGAGGAACCGCAAAAATGCCTTGAAAGTGGCCGGATCACAGTCTTCAATTGTGATCACTTTGGAGACAGAATCTTGCAAACCAACAGTCAGTAGCTTCTCAAAGACTTCGGAGCGTGCACACAGGACTTGTGAGTGGCCCTTGATCACCTCACCGTGCACCATAAACTGCACGTCGCTGCAGGTGCCCTTCTGCCACAAGGCTTGCATGTCGGAGCTGATGGTAGGTCCCGGAACGAAAACATCTGAAACAGCAAGCGGCTGCGAATCAATGTCCCCCTGAGGGCGCACTTCGAGTATGAACTTCACAGTCATGGTGTCATCCTTCACGGAAATAAGTGCAAAACGCAGTAATACTAGCAGTGACAGCAATACTAGCAATACGAGTAATGTGAGCAATAAAAAGAAAAATGAAGACTTATAGCAATAACCGCGATACGAATAGAACAAGAATGATAATAATAATACTAGTAGTAAAAAAAAGAATACTAATAGCCAGTATGAACTGCAAGAACAACGAGAAGGACAATAATAGCACAGCAATAGAGGCAGTCATGATAATTTCTACGGAGAACATTAAGAATAGGAATAGGAGTATTAGCAGGAAAAATCCGAATAATTTACGTGTCACCCTTCACCCAAACCTAAACGCTAGGGCCCAGCCCGAAGCCCTAACCCGTCATCCTTCACCCATTCGGACTTCAGCACTTGCTCGAAAGACAAACCGAAAACGCCCTTCGTCGAGTGCACTCCATCAGTGTCGTCGCATACATCAGGGCCATACCTGGTTCCACACTGAGATACTTTCAAATTGAGTTACGTTCGATTTGGGGTGCGGGTGATGCAAATAGCATTGTGTCTACAAAAAAGTCGTTAAAACCTTGAACCAGATACGAACGGGGATCTGACCCAGCCGCTTCCAAATTGTCCAAGATTTCATCGCGGGTCTCACCCCACTGCACGAAGTGTCCGTCGCGGTTCTCCACAAATATCTGGTACCGAAGTACAATGTTAGCTTCACCTCTGTAGCGGATAGCGAGTGACCCATGCTGCCCTGGCGCTACACCGCTCCCAGATGGGCTATACGCAAAATCGAAGAGCTGACCATCCACGCAGAAATCCTTGACTCTTGAAAGTGACAGTGTAGCGTTTAAGGGTTTAGGTTTAGGGTGCAATGAGGACGCCGATTATCCCAGCAACTCTGTCGCCCATTCTTCCATGCCCTCCTCAGGAAAGGAAAGCATGATCAGATATGATCAGTAATAAACCCATGAACAACAGATATGGAAACATAAAATGAACTTTGAGGAATAGGCCCAAGCATTCTACTTAATATACGACATCGTACCAGCAAGGACAACATGCAATGTCACAGTTTGCAATGTCTTTTTTGCGGCCATCTATTTCCACTAGGAAATGATGGACCGGATCCCGCTAGTGGAACAATACCTAGACCCAAGAACCCATGTCCGACTAGTCGCCTCCCCTGGTATTACCCACAATTATTAAGCATCCCCAAGAATGATCAAGTTTGTTTCACGGCGGGAGGGACTGGTGTCTTACAGGAAGATGGATAAAGAAACTCGACCCTTTTCAGGCCGGCGTACCCACTTAGGGACCCTGTAACCCCATTTAAGGTGGTTGAACCAAGTCAAACTGTATGTTTCTCGAAAAAAAACTATACCAAGGAGAACAGTCTATATCAGAGACTACAAAATCTTCAAGTAGAATCTGCGCACTTAAGGGCGGTAACGGCCCGAAGAATTGCCAAGATCATCTTGATGACTGGTTGAGGTATCCTATACCGTATTCATACAAGGATTTGAGGTACTCTATACTAAAGGTACCTCGAATATCCTATACCAGATTCATACAGCGAATCTAGGAACCACAGCATCGGTAACATTCCACGAATTCTACGCCTCTATATTGCTGGGAGGGGCTCACGCGGAGGCCAAACATTGGTCCGGCACGACACCGACCGTCACCCTAGACCCAAAACCCTGAACCCTAAACCTTGAACCCCAAACCCTGACTTTTAAACCCTAAAGCTCTACACCCTGAACCCGAAAACCTAATCCCTGGAACCCTAAGCAGGACGCCAAAGGTCATCCGACATGACATAGTCGAAGTCATCCTGCTTCAGCCAAGCGGGAAGCCAAGAGAGCCGCCGGAGTTTCCACACAAATTCCCCCTTGGTGACCTGGTTCTGGTTTTAGGGTTGGGGCTTAGGGATCTAGATCAAGGTATCTAGGATTTAGGCTTTGGGATTTAGGTTCCCAACAGTGGAGAATTAAAGGGAAAGACACATGGCAAATTACAGGGAAGCTGGAGTTATACATGGGATTAGAGGCAGGCAACAACCTCACCCTAAACCCGGCTCTCCGAACCACCTCCCTTTCGTATCCCTGCAGAGGCCAATTCGCTAGCAGGCTTACCTAGGAGAACCTTTGGGGCGAGAAATGCATGCACGGGCAGGCGGCTAAGAAACCCCAAAGTTGAGGTCTTCAGGAATTTAGGGTTTAAGGTTTAGG